CCTTGATTGCAGATGGCATCACTAGGAGGAATTGATCTCCAGGCCAATTGGCTGTGAGGACCAGCTGCAACTATAGTGGAAGAGCTACTATGCAGGGAACACCCTTATGAAGAAGGACTTGCTTCAGTGGGGCTTTAGTGCTCACTGAGTTTTCCTTTTGAGTGTTGCTTATGGATGTGTAGAGTTGTAATCTGCTATGGTCTGAAGCTGTCCAAAGATACACTGGCTCTCGGGCCTCCAGGGATGTGCAAAATCAGCCACTGCCTGGGGCCACCTGTCAGGAGCTACAGAGGGATCTGCAGAGGGCCACTATTTGATACTTATATTGGGCTTGGAAGTGCCCAGGAGAGGCCCAGCTGTGAAGCAAGTCAGGCCAGTCCTAATACCAGGTCTTAGGCCTTTTATTAATAGGTTTGGGGCATGCTGTCACCAGCTACTGCTTGTTTGAGCGATTTTAGCAAAGTCTGAATCCTGAACAAGGACCAGCCATTCATATGGAAAAGCTGTTGCAAATAGCTTGGGTGCTACAGCAAATTGAATAGGGTGGGTCTCAAGGAATCCCTAGGGCAGAGCAAACAGTGTGCTCCAAGCTGATGGAGACTCAGATATGGCTGCCAGTCAGCCCTGTGATGGGGGAGGTTCCAGTACAGGAAGGATGACTACTGCAAGCACTCCTGTTTGAGAGAAAGCCACCCTGGAGTTTCTGCCCCTATGCCAGACAATCCAGTTCCTTCCCATATGTGTCTGGGTCCCCCAAAAGCCACCCAGTGCTATAAGTTCGAGTAAGTTTGTGCACCTGCCCTTTAAATGGAACACCTAGGTCTCCAGCAGGCTCTGTGTCGCTCGGCCACATCCCAGCTGGTTTTTACAGCCCAAAGTTGCAGTAACTTGTCTTCCCAGCTCTGATACCATGGGCTGGGGGACTGGTGTCGGGCTGGAACCCCTTGATTCTCATAGGCAGCCTCCACAGAGACAATTTCCTTCCCAATTAAAAAAACTGGCGCATGTGGCTGTCAGATCAGCCTATTCCATGCCTCCACCCCTCCTACCGGTCTCAGTGTGCTTTCTTCTTTACTTCTCTAGTTGCAGGACCTCCATTCAGCCAGCTTTCAGGCGGTTTTGAATGATGCTTGTTCTGTATTTTAGTTGTCATTTTGATGTGGTTTATTGTCAAGTACCTTTTAATGTTAAGGATGTTAGTAGTAATCAAACTCCAAATGCATTTAGTAAGTTGCTGAGTGCCTACTCTTTGGGGAGCCACTGTGCTTGGCTCTGGAAGGGACAGAGTGTAGCACAGAGGCAATGAATCCCCCATATCCAGCAGTCCTGTGTACTGAGAGTGGGGTGAGGAGAGCAGAGGGTGGGGAGGTTGCACAGTGAAGCTCCCAGCCCAACGGAGGGGAGCTCTGAGCCTTTCTTAGAAGAGTCCCTTGAGGACCAGCAAGAATTCACCAAGCAAAGGGTGCTCCAGGCAAAGGAGCAGAAGTACAAAAGTCTGCAGGGGAGAGAAGGTTCTAGAAACCCCAAAACCTTGCAATTATCTCCTAGTCACTGTCCCTTGAGCAAGGGAAGCCGTGTGAGCAAGGGTTAAGCCAGCAGGTGGTGGTTCCGACCGCCTGGTTCACTGCAGCTCTGTTCTCAGAAGCTGTGGGCTCAGGCAACTTACTGCGTGTCCTTGGGTGCAGCCTCAGCCTTTGGTTTCAGACAATAGGAATAGTACTGGCCACAAAAGATGTGTTGACTATCAGTTCCTCCTATTTGTCAATGAAATGTGAGAGCTGGGCTGCCTGGGCTGAGTAGGGGCAGAAGTCCAGGTAAGGACAGGTGCAGAGCTTGCACCTGGATGCGGGCAGTGGCTGAGTCATGAGGCCGGAACACACCACCAAGGCCTCATTCAGCTCCCGGGCCCTTAGTGCACAGGTGGAGGTCGGGGAGGCAGCCTGGTCCTGTCCCTTTGGTTCCAGCCTCAACCCTTGACTGTGTTCCAGCTCTAAGCCCTTCCTGGGTGCTGGCAACCACATAGAAAGAGTTTTCCTTACCCAACACAGCTCTTCCACTTCCCACCCCGCCTCACTGGCCCTCGTGGTTTGGGAGAACCTTCAGTTCTGGACAACAGCCTCCCCAGTAATTTGGTGCCCGACCCTGCAAGAGAGGAGAGGAGAGAAGAGGACAACACCACCACCCTGGCCCCACCCCATCACCAAAGTTCTGTGGCTCTGCGAGCCCAGGTCACAGGGGAGGCCAGGGAGCAGGTCTGGTGCAGGCCTAAGGACAGGCACAGAGATATGGTCACCATGGTAAGGGACCAGAGCCCTGAGAAGGTGCCTCTCTCTGCTCCCACCAGCCATGTGAGGCCTCCCACAGTCCTGCCTGTTCCGCCCAAAGGCTTCTGTCCCAGGGAGGAGGGCGCTGCTTGCATTCATCCATTCATTCGTTCATTCAACTGAGCATGTTCCGGTGGCAGGCATTGCACCTCCGTCTCACGGAGCTGACAGCCCACATCTCATTGCCTGAAGGCCAGCAGAGGGAACAGCCCATTTGTCTGACCAGACCTGTCCTAGGATGCACAGTGGCTGCATGGTGGGCCCCAGGCAGTTAGTGGGGCCCACCTCCTCCTTTCTCCCTTCCTGAGGCCCAGGCATCAGTTGCCTCTTAGGCATCCCTTCTCCCAGGCTCACAGGCTACTATCACCCTTTCTGCCTGGCCCACCTCTCTCTGCCGCCCCTCTCTACCCTGACCCCAGGGTCACATCCTTCTCCTGTCTCTATGCCCTGGTGCACAACTGTCTGGACAAGAGAAATTCTTCCCCTCTCTCCTGTCTGCCCTGGACACAGCAAAGACCCCTCCAGGCTGCTCAAAGACCTGGTCTCTCCTCCCAGCACCCCCCATCCCTGGCAGTGACATGGCCGAGTTTGTCTTTTAATCAAGGTTAACAAAGTCACCTCACAGGGTCAAGGGTTGTGGGACTAGGTGGGCTCTGGAGTCCTTTGGCAGCAGCTTCGCCCACCAGCAGAGCTGACTAATGCACTTGCTCCTCAGGGAGACTGAGTGTCCTTTCGGGGCCAGCAGCCCACACGCACCTGCCCACCCACACTTGTGCACACGTGAGGACACCACCCTTCACTAGCCCAGAAGGTGTTCTGACTTGTTACCCCAATAATGGGAATGAGCCACCCTATTTCGGCAGCTCATCTGTGATCAAGGATCACAGGTGGTCAGGTGATCAAGGTGAGCCCACCTGCAGCCAGACACCAGGGAAGCTCTAGTCAGGGCTAGGAATCCAGTGTGCCCAGAGCGGGGTTGGCATATATAAGGTCCATAAGAATCTGGGTTAAGGTCAACATAAGGCCAAGTTGAGCGTTTAAGCAATGGTTCTCAACCTGTGGGTCGCGAACAATGAAAATACATCCTGCATATCAGATATTTACATTATGATTCATAACAGTAGCAAAATTACAGTTATGAAGTAGCAACGAAAATAATTTTATGGTTTGGGGTCACCACAACATGAGGAACTGTATTAAAGGGTCGCAGCATTAGGAAGGCTGAGACCACTGGGGGTCATGGGCCAAGATTTAGGCCAAATCCAGCTGCAGGTTACAGTCAGCATGACTGGGTTTATGAACTGTGTAGGAGATAAGAGCATGGCTGCATTAGTGGTCAGTGTGGGAAGGGCTTTGGGAACCAGTACCAGGCAGCAAAGCAACATGACCTGGAGGGGCTGGACCCCGGCCTGCATCCCATCAGGACTACATACCATCAGGACTGCATCCCATCAGGACTGCCTCCCACCAGGACTGCATCCCATCAGGACTACATCCCATCAGGACTACATCCCATCAGGACTACATCCCATCCTGACTACATCCCATCAGGACTGCATCCCATCAGGACTCCATCCCATCAGGACTACATCCCATCAGGACTACATCCCATCCTGACTACATCCCATCAGGACTGCATCCCATCAGGACTCCATCCCATCAGGACTACATCCCATCAGGACTACATCCCATCCTGACTACATCCCATCAGGACTGCATCCCATCAGGACTCCATCCCATCAGGACTACATCCCATCAGGACTACATCCCATCCTGACTACATCCCATCAGGACTGCATCCCATCAGGACTCCATCCCATCAGGACTACATCCCATCAGGACTACATCCCATCCTGACTACATCCCATCAGGACTGCATCCCATCAGGACTCCATCCCATCAGGACTACATCCCATCAGGACTACATCCCATCCTGACTACATCCCATCAGGACTGCATCCCATCAGGACTCCATCCCATCAGGACTACATCCCATCAGGACTACATCCCATCCTGACTACATCCCATCAGGACTGCATCCCATCAGGACTCCATCCCATCAGGACTACATCCCATCAGGACTACATCCCATCCTGACTACATCCCATCAGGACTGCATCCCATCAGGACTCCATCCCATCAGGACTACATCCCATCAGGACTACATCCCATCCTGACTACATCCCATCAGGACTGCATCCCATCAGGACTCCATCCCATCAGGACTACATCCCATCAGGACTACATCCCATCCTGACTACATCCCATCAGGACTGCATCCCATCAGGACTCCATCCCATCAGGACTACATCCCATCAGGACTACATCCCATCCTGACTACATCCCATCAGGACTGCATCCCATCAGGACTCCATCCCATCAGGACTACATCCCATCAGGACTACATCCCATCAGGACTGCATCCCATCAGGACTGCATCCCATCAGGGCTGCCTCTACATTCAAACAGCTCAGGTGGTTCTTTGCTTCCCTGAACCCAGGGCCCCACAGAGGCAGGAAACCCTGGCAGTGACCTGTGTCAGCCCCAGGGATACCCGCCACCACATATACCCCACACTCAGCGAGGCAGCCCCCACAGGCCCTGCATGATACATGTGAACGTGAACACAGGCTACTGTATGTTGATGCCACGCCCTCCCAGCACCACTGGAGTCAATTCAGGATAATTATTTATTATTCATAGTCATCAGCATCTTCATTAATTATTCATATGATCCTTAATTATTATCCTTAACAATAAGAGCAGTAAATAGCAGAAAAGTCCTTGAGTGCCTAAGGCCTAGGGCGGGGTGTCACCAGGCAGTTAGACCAGCTACTGCCCCCAGAGCAGTGGGGGGACCACAGACCCCCGTCCACTGCCCAGCCCTGCCCCTGCCCCTCCCACTGCAGGAGGAGATGGTCCCAAGAGCTGGGGAGGGGCTGTGCCTTGAGTTCCTCTCCCCTTTGAGTTCCTCTCCCCTTCGTGGCCAGGGCCTCCTGGGTAGGGCCTCCGAGGGGAGGGGCCCAGGCCGTGTGCTGAACCCGAGGTGAGCCACGTGTCCACACTGGGCCGCCCCACTAACTGCCTGGGTCTGAGCCGTGTCTGTGCAAGGGCTGGGAGGTGAGGGTGCCCAGCTGGCCCGGCAGGGAGAGGCGTCGAGTAGGGCCATCTTGAGGGAGCTCTGGGGCCCCCGGGGGGAGCTCCTCACACACCATGAACTGGGAAACCTGCAAAGAACAGAGAGTGTAAGAGGCAAGGAGCCCTCAGAGGGGGAGGGGATGGAGATGCAGTCAAGTGGGTAGAGAGGAGGTCAGAGTTTGGAGAGGGTCAGGAGAATACGGTGGCAGAAGACAGGAAGATAGAAAGGGGTTGGAGAGGACACGTTGAAGGGCCAAAGCAGACAGAGCAGCACAGGACGAGGACCACAAGGGAGGCTCTGAGGATGGAGGTAGATAAATGTACTGTCAGTGGGCAAGAGCCAAACCGGGCAGCTGGGAGCTGTGGGAGCTTCCCTGATAGGGGAGAACTCAAGGCCACAGCTACTTCCCAGGAACGGGGCAGCTGAATCCAAACCAACCCAGGACAAAGGGCCCTGAGTTGGGACAGAAGCTGGGACAGAAAGAGAAACAAGGTTCCTTCCTCCAATCTAGAAAGAACTCAGGGACCAAATGCAGAAGGCCAGGGAGCATACAGGGCCAGCAGAGGGGTTTTCGGGTGCTGACGAGTCTGTGTGAGGTCTGCGGGGGAGGCTGTGAAGGGAGACTGGCACATTTGCTGGCGTGGGCCCTGTGTCTGAAAACAGGAGCTGGCGGCAGCAGAATGGAGTGGGGGGCGGGGAGGTGGAGAGGGGCGTCAAATGCCAGAGGAAGGGGCAGATCCGGTTAGGAAGCCATTCAGGAGAAGACAAAGGGCAACAGAGGCCTATCTCCAGCAGGAGGAGGAAAATAGGGCCAGAAAGCTACCCTAAGAACTAGCCAAAGCCCTCAGGACAACCCTGCAAGGCAGCCAGTGTGACAGCCACTAGCTGCAACAGTCAGGTCTGGGGGTGCCCTTCACACCAGAGACCCTGTCCCAAGGGCTCACTGGCACTCAGCACTGACTACCAGGCCATGGGGTCCATTAGTATCCCCTGAAGACCACTCGTGGTCACAACACAGGCATCATGAGCAGATCGGGCCCTCCAGTGGCATAAGGGAGCCCACACCACTCAGCCTGCTCGTGCCTCTGCCCAGCTGCCTGGGGACCTTGGTTTGGGGGCTCTGCTGCTTTGCCCTGTGCCCACAGCTCCTGGGGCTGCCCTCCTTTAGGAGCACAGTCTGGTAGAGGCTGGGGCCCACAGCTAAGCAGAAAGGGCAGCAAAGCAGGTTAGGGTGGCACTGGCTCAGAAAAGGCAGGGCTGTGGTGCCATGGCGGAAGGGGGTTTGGAACTCACCTGAGAAAGGGAGTACTGGGTAAGGGTGGGGATGGGGCTGACAGGCAGCAGGGGGCAGGTAGAGGTGGGGCCGGGGCCCGGGGTGGTCACAGCACTGTAGGTGGGCGGGACCAGCGTCATCTGCCTCTGTAGCAGCTGCAGGATGGTGGCCATGTCTGCACTGAGCCGGGTCTCCAGCCTAGGGCAAGAAGGAGGATGCTCTGGGTCTCGGGGAAGCGGAGACATCAGTAACTGTGACTTTGAGACACTCTTGATGGGCCAGCTGGTCAACCCCAGGTATGTCAGCCCCCGGCTCAGCTCTGAATGGGCTCAGCTCTGAATGGGACACTCAGGCAGGCCTGGACAGAGCACACTCTCCAATCTCCATACAATACAGCCAGGAACCCAGAGATCACACTGCAATATCCCGCACCACACAACTCACAGACCTCCAACACAGACCTCCAACACAGCTGGCGCTCAGCTGGACCCCAGGGGCTGCCCTCACCTGTTGAGCTGCCTCTGGAGGGCATCCAGCCTGCTCTCCACATCGCCCCGGGACCGCCGGCCGGGGCTGGAAAGAGGGATGTTGAGGAGGCTTGGGGCGGGGGCGGGGGCGGGGCATCGAGGCAGCTCCTGGTACTGGCGGCCCCGACTGTCCCCCCAGAAGCTGAAGATGTTGGACACTCCTGAGAAGGCCCCTGGAGCCAAAAAGCTGTGTGAGGGAGGCCAGGATAGACGCCACGCCCCCCCTTCCCCTCTCAGCCCTCGCCCTACCTGACAGTGGGTTACAAGTGTCACTGCTCTTCTCACAGTCCTCAGTCAGGGGCTCCCCACCCGGCAGCTCTCCAGGGGGTCTGGGGCTGGAGAAGGGCACCAGGCGGAGGGGGCTGGAGCTGCGGCCTGGGCCTTCGTCGTCACTGCTCTCAGGGCTGGAGGGGCCACTGGACGGGCTCTCCCCCCATGGCCCCCCTGGCCGGCCCCGGCCACTAGGCGCTGCCCCCACCCGGCCTGGCCCCAAGGTCGACACCTCCCCTGGCTGCTCCGGGTCTGTCAGAAACAGAGAACGGGCCTCAGAGAGGGCAGGAGGCATGGAGGAAATCAGAGTGGAGAGGCAGGAAAGGGGGGAAAGGGGGAACCAGAGCAGGCCCGGAAGAGGGCTGTGGCAGGCCACCCTGGGGTGTCTTCCCTGGGCAACAGGCCCAGGTCCTCTCCAGCCACTGGCTGCCTAAGATGGGCAGCAGCAACACTGGGCGGGCCCCTCTGGGTCCCCGAGCCCTCAGCCCAGGCCCTGCCCCCTTGCTCTCCTTTGTCCTGTCTCTTCTCCCCTCATCAGTTCAAGGCAGCATCCACCCAGACACCAGCCCTGGGAGGACCAAAGAAGCTCAGGCGCGCCCCTGCTGTGAGGGCAGAGGGCTTCCTGGAGGAGGTGACAGTTCAAGTGGCCTGAAAAGACAGGCTAAGTTTGGACAGTTAAGGTGAGGAGTAGGGAGCACTGAAGGTAGAGGCAGGAATGTCTGTGGAGCCAGGACAGGGCGATACTACTGGACCCCGAGCTCCGCCCTCCTCCTTGTCACCTGGACCCCGTCCTCTGCCCTCCATCCGCCTGCCTGGACCCTGCCCAAGCCCCCCCTCCCTCCACCCTGTCCCCTCCTCAACAGGACCCGCCTGCCCCGCCCCCGCCTCACCCTTGTCGGTGCGTCTGCGGAAAGACAGCTTGCGCTTGCGTTGCCGATTGAAACCACCCTCTAGCTCCGCGCTGCCGGGAGAGCCGGGGATCATGTTGGTCTGGAACCAAGGCAGGTGTCAGGGCCCTTCCATGCCGCCCACCCTGCCCGGGGTCAGGCTCAAACCCCTCATTAACAGAGATGGGGGGGGCACTGCCCTGACCGCTGCCTCAGAACAAGGGCGGAGGCGGGGTTTTCACCTCCTGGTCAGACTCTGTGCCCTTTGACAGGCAGGGAAGCAGGCCCAGGAGGGCAGGCAGCTTAAGGGCAGGTCCCCGGGCACAGCCCACAGGGGCAGCCCACTCACGTCTCGCAGGTTGAATGTGATCTCCAAGCTGGACCAGAAGTGGTCGGAGAACTCGGGGTACATGTCCAGCACCTCCAGCAGGTCATCCCGGTGGATCTTGTGCAGGTCGCAGTAGGTGAGGGCCCGCACGTCCCCATTGGACTTGCCAGGCCTCGCGTAGAGGTTCAGGGGCTCTCCGAAAATGTCGTTCTTCCCTGGAAGCCATGGAGAGGGGGACTCAGCCTGTCTTCCCGAATGCTCACCCATCGTCCACACCCAGCCCCCGCCCACAGAGCCAGAGACCTACCAGCCAGCACCCTCCTCCCTCAGCTCCCAGCAATGCCTGGGCGGTGAAGGCAGGAGTCCAGCTCTCCCTGTCTCGGCTCTCCCTGCCTCGCAACACCAGGAACCAGCCAGCAGGACCAGCCGGATGCCCCACTGTGCCCACAGCCCAGGCTGCCTTAGATTCTTACTCCACTTCTCCCCCCGAAACCCATGTTCCAAACCTCCCCTGGCCAGTCACCGCACCCTCATACGCGTTATTCAGACTACAGATCAGAACGCAGTAGGGACTCGAGGCCCACATTTTGTTTACTGAAAGAAGACAAGCCAGTATAGCTTAGCACAGCTAATACCTAGTAAGGCTCAGTGTTGTATAGAGAAACTGGTTTCGGTTCTGTTTGGGGGTGTTTGTGAACTAAAAATCTAAAGTGACCCTCCGTGACAAGGAAAGAACAGGAAGAAGACAGGAGGTCCCCTGCCCAGGCACACCGCCCGGGTGGGCAGGTGCCCAGGAAGGGGCGAGAGGGGAAGAAGGGCAGGACTCCCTCTGCTTTGCAGACTGTGCTGGGCCTGGTTGTATAACATGAGACTTAGTACGTTTCCTTAGTAAAATCAAATGCATAACCTCCCTCCACTGCCCACCTTGGAGCAGGCTTTGCTGCTACTCTAAGGAAGCCAGGTGTCGCTGCCTGTGGGGAGCTCCTGAAGGGAAACAAAGTCTGGGAACCCTCAGAGTTCAGCAACCCTACCCGCTGTGGGGCTCCTCTCTGCGGCCCCTGGGGCTTGAGCTTGGGTGAATTAAAGGAGCCCAAGGTCCCTGTTAGCAGTCCCTGGTCCACAGACCCCACATCTGTGTCCTCAAAGGGCTCAGACCTCTCCAGGCCTTGGCAGACACTCTGGTCCAGCGCCCAGTCCCCACCGTACCCAGGATGGCCACGACGATGTCACCCCGCAAGATCTCGATGGAGCCCCGGGAGATGAAATAGAGGGCAGTGAGCAGGTCCCCCGCGTGCACCAGCGTGTCCCCTGGTGGCGCATGTGTCGTCTTGAACTTCATGGCCAGGGCCCGCAGGCAGCCCTTAGTGGCCCCGCGGAAGGGCTTGCAGTGCTGCAGCAGGGAGCGGTTCAGGGAAGCCCTTCAGCACCTGGGGGCAGGGCCAGCTCAGCGCGGCACCCTGGGACCCCACCCCACCCCCACCCAGAGATCCAGGGAGGAGCATCAGGGTCCAGTTTGGGGGAAGGTTGTGGGTGCCAATTCCAGCTCCACTCCTTCTCGCTAGGCACCCTTGGGGACCCACCTCATTGCCCGAGGCCCCCATTTGCTCATATGTTCAGTGGGAGAGCAGTTCCGGGCAGGGCTGTTGCAAGGATTAACCATAATGGCCTTCATGCAAGAGCTGGTCGCCGCCTGCCCCAAAGTGAGAGCTCTCCCAGTAAATGAGCTCCAAGGGCAAAAGGAGGGTGACCACTTCTCAGGGGCTTTCTCAGCACTAACCGTGACCACCTGAACCATAGGATGTGAGGTGTGATCACCGCACCTAGAGGCGTTCCCACCGCCACTCCGCTCCCTTTAGCCCACCAACCAGCCTTCTACAAGCCAGGGGCCTCACCGCGTTCATGTCGATGCCGTTGGTGTAGGACCAGGCGTGCTGGAAGTACTCCTCGAGGCGCTGGCGCAGCGGGTTGGGGATCTGGTGGAAGCGGATGAACTCACGCACCCGGAGCATCTGCGTGTGGTAGCGGGCTGTACCCGAGTACAGCCGCTGGATGATGGCCGACACGTTGCCAAAGATGCTGGCGTACATGAGGGCTGGGGGCGGGGGTGAGTGGGGCTGTCAGCATCCAAGGAACCTGCCCGCCCCTGCACCAGTCAAGGACACATGCATGTGAGCGTACACGCAAGAGTCACAAACACAGAAGCCCAGGCCTGCATGCCCTTGGGCTCTGCCTGTGCCCTTACCCCAGTGTCCCAGCCCCCAAACATACCATGATAGTGGCCCTGGAGTCTCCAAGTCCCAGGGCCCTAGTTGGCCCCCCCAGCATCTACCCTTTCCTCCACCTGGGGCTCTTCCCACACCCAGCGCACACTCACAGCCGATGAGCATGACGCAGATGGAGAAGATCTTCTCTGAGTTGGTGTTGGGGGAGACGTTGCCAAATCCCACGCTGGTGAGGCTGCTGAAGGTGAAGTAGAGGGCCGTGACGTACTTGTCCTTGATGGAGGGGCCGCCCAGGCCGCTGCTGTTGTAGGGCTTGCCAATCTGGTCACCCAGGTTGTACAGCCAGCCGATGCGGGAGTCCATATGCGGCTGCTCCATGTTGCCGATGGCGTACCAAATGCAGGCCAGCCAGTGCGCGATGAGCGCGAAGTAAATGGATTCATTAACAGGGATCTTTGCACTTGACATTCAGACCATGGGCCATTTAGGTTTTTAGCACATTCGCAAGCGCAGCAGCCGCGCCGTCTTCAGCAGCCCGATGAGCTGGGGTGGGAGGAGACAGTCCACGTGGGGCCAATGGAAAGTGGAGGCACCGCAGCCCTCGGGGGACATCAGAGGAAAGGTCCCCACAGACTTCCTCCCAGAACTTCCTCCTAATAATTGAAGCACCTCCCACTGAGCCCAGCACAGTGTCCTGCTAATCTTGGCACTAGCTTCAGGACAAAGGGTTCATGGCCCCCATGGTGAGAATGAGGAAACTGAGGCTTGGAAAGGTGCAGCGCCCACCCTAAGGTGCCTGGCCAGAGGTCCCACTGGCGTCCAGGGCACTTTTCTGTGAATTAGAAGAAGTGGCCTCTTTGGATAGACAAATGAGAAAAAAGCACCCCCTCTGGACCTCTGCATCTGGCGAGGGGCTGGGGTAGACAGGGACTGGCATGAGCCAGCGGGGGCAGCCTCCAGGCCCCTGCAGCCCTCTTCCTAGCCACCCCGTCACCCCACCACCTCCTCACCTTCTCCCACACTGGTCATTTGCTTTGAGATCTTTAAGCTGTGGCATGCTATTTGTAATGAGCTGAGGGAGGCACATTGGCTCCCTTGAAACTCCCATTATTAAATCCCCGCCAGCCCACCTCCTCCGAGCCAGAGCCAAAGATGAGCAGGTCGAAGGGTATGGCGGCCACCATGTCAATGAGGAACCAGCCCTTGAAGTAGTGGACGGCGATGCGGCCCGGGTGGCTGACCACCTCCTCGTTGGCGTTGACGTAGGTGGTCCGGAAGTTGATGAGGATGTCCACGATGAACATGATGTCTACGATGAGGTCCACCACGGCCAGGGGCTGGCAGGCGTAGCCGCAGTCGGGGGCCACCGGGCCCTCCTCCGTCTCCTCACCATGTCAATGAGGAACCAGCCCTTGAAGTAGTGGACGGCGATGCGGCGGGGGTGGCTGACCACCTCATCGTTGGTGTTGACGTAGGTGGTGCGGAAGTTGATGACAATGTCCACGACAAACATGATGTCCACGATGAGGTCCACCACGGTGAGTGGACTGCAGGGGTAGCTGCAGTCCCCGCGCTGAGACTCGTCCTGGTCGCTGAGCAGGAAGGCGGCTGAGTAGGGTGTGAAGACGGCCGTGTAGATGACCAGCAGCAGGATGAGCCAGTCCCACACGGCCTTGAAGGGGCTGTAGTGCAGGATGGTCCAGCGGTGGATGCGCGGCGCCTGCAGCTTGTACTCGGGCAGCACGTCCGCCCCCAGGGACAGGACCTGGACAGGCAGGGAAGGTGGCGGTGAGGGGGTGGTGTCCAACTGGAGTCGGGAGAGGGGAGGAGAGGCCATGGGACCTCCAGGGTGGGAGCAGGTGACATCTCTGTTGGAGCCTCCAGAGAAGAGGCCAAGCAGAGTAAGGAGGGAGGCCAAAATGTTTTGATCAGAATGCCCACCCCTCGGCCAAGTGGCCACAGCCACTGACCACCCCTCAATCTGGGCACTCCAGTTCCCCATAGCTGGCTCCAAGTCCAGGGCACCATGCAGTAACGCCCAGAATGGCTCCCACCAGCAACACAGACCCCTGCCTAGGGGTGTGACTCCCATCCGATCTTGCCCACATCTCCCCAACAGCCCCCCACACACATACACCCACACACACAGCATGGCCTTCGTCCATGCCACTGGCCCAAGGATACCAGCCATCCAGACTCAGGCCCCTTGGCCCCCAGGGGAGAGAGACTAAAACACCCCACGCCTGCTCCTGCAGCCCCCTCTCGCCTGGCCCAGGGCAGCCCTCTCACACTCCTACAAAGGCACGCAGAAGACCTCACCCCGCAGAGACGTGCCTACACGTACACAGTGGGACATGCACACGGGCAGACGTCCAGAAGTGACGCAGACAGCCAGCAGAGGCTCACCTTCACATCCTGCCCCACAACATCAGGCAGAGGCAGCTGACCACCCAGACCAGGTCGCAGTAGGCACGCCACGATTTCTCCCCAAGCCAAACTAGGAAGAGCTGAGGCCAGCTTCCCCCTGTCCCAGGAGCCTCTGTGCGTCTCCCTATGGCCTCCCCCTGCCCCTGAGAATCCTCTCACAGACATCTGATTCAACCCAGGAGCCCCCCAAGCTCTCCCGTCCTGGCCCACCCTGAGAGCCAAGGTTGCCAGCCCTGCTGCTGTAGCACTGAGTGCCAGAGTCCCTCCCCCACTCCACCCCCACCCCACTCTGTCCTCAGGCCTCTGGGCTGGGGAGGGCCATGGTGGGTGGAGCCTCAAAGAGTCCTACTCACATTCAAGCTGGGAATCCCCTGGGCCCCCCCTCACCAAAGGGACTGTTTGGAGAACATCGCCTTAGAAGAAGTAACTGGAAGTTCAGACAGGCAATAGTTAGGGGTTGGTCCACCCTGGGCTGGCCACAGGGTTCCAAAGGCACATGATGGGTGGAAGGAGCAGCTGGGGCCGAGGCAGGGGAGGGAGCGTGTGGCTTCCAGGTCCCCACTCTGCCCTGCCTTCAGCCCAAGTTGCCTGCTCCTTAAGGCAGAGAGCATGGGGCAGTGGCCTTTCCAGGGTCAGGTGGGGATTGGGAAAAAAGGAACTGACCAGGGCCCCTGCAGACAAGGGACGGTATAAGGTAACTGCCCCCATCCCCCCCATGGGTCTCCTCCAAGTGCCTGAGAGGCAAAACCACACCTGATAAGAGACCTGGTCCCGAGGTCTGTCCAGAGCAGGACCACCACCACCCTAACGCACACACGCACACTCAAGGGGCAAGCCTGGACACAAGACCTGGACCTGCAGACCTCATCTCACGGGAGCCAGGCCCAGCTCTGCAACCACCAGTGTACTGCATGGCCTTGGGCCAGGTGTGTAACCTCCTTTGACCCACAGGATACCGAAGCCCACTTAAGCCAAATCCTGGATCCTCACCTGTGGGTGGGAAGGAGTCTCCCCATACCTGTCCCCGAGCTGGGAGGAGCACATGAGCCAAGGCAGAGAGTGTTGCCAGGTGGTGGTGGCAGCGGTGGGATCCTCAGACGCACCCTTGAGGCACCTCCAACACCCCCTCTGCCGCCCTCCCCAGCTTGCTCCAGGCTCTCTGACGTGGGATGGAAAGGTGGCTCCCAGAAGGTACCTACAGAGTCATCAGCCTAGGGGACCTGGGGCAGCTCAGGCTGTTCCAGGTGAGCCAGGTGCCTCAGTTCAGCTACCCTCACCGCATTCATTGTCCTCTGACCCCGCCTTCCTCAGACTCCAGCCCCAAAGCCTGGACCACTGAAGCAGCCCGCGCCTCCCTCACCACCACTGGCCCACCCCCAGCACGTGGAGAAGAGGAGCAGTGGAGCCCATGGCTTCCAGGCCAGGCCTGGCCACTGCCCACTGCGGGAGGTGTGGTGGGAGGGGGAGGCAGGCTCCTCTCCTCCACCTCCCACCCTCCTCCCTGGGCACCCATTTTATTCCTGCTCTTCCTCCCCACCCCCCCCCCCCCCGGAGCATTTTGAGCTAGAAGAGTATGGGCCATGGAGGCCCTCGGAGAGGAGAGTCCTGGCAAGAAAAATACTGTCTACCAGGCCCAGCAGGCCTGGGGAAGAGCAACCTGGAGCCAGGAGTGGGATGAGCAGGGCTGCGGACCCTCTGGCTCCCCAAACTGTCCTGCTTCTCAGCAGCTCTCTCGGGCCTGGAGCCAGAGTGGCTCCTCTGGGCTGCATCCTGAATCAGTGCCCCGGCCTGGAAGGGAGAGGGAGGGGCTGGGGGGTCACCTACCTCCTGGGCCACCAGGCTGGAGATGCGCACGGCCCGCCTTACCCGGCCCTTCTGGGCCCTGGGCTGCAGAGCCCCAGTCCCGCTCGCCTTCCTGGCGGAGGCCGCCATGGAGGACTTGGCTCCCCCCAGCCTGCCTGC